GAGCTAAGGATGCAGGCTGACGAAATGACAAATACCATTTTGTATTTAATATGCATTCAAAACCATGCATGTACTTTTAACATTTTTTAGGAGCGTTCTGTTAGTACAGGGGAAATTATGCGAGTTTATAATTATTGTCAACTATCAAATATAAAACCATTCAGTTACTTTTTTAATTTTCAATAAAAAAAATTTAAATAACCTGTTAATAAAATAAAACATAAATTTTCCTTTTTACATGTTGAACTCATTAATTTAAAACAATTTTAAATAAAAATATAAATTAAAAAAAGACTAATCAAAATTATGATTTAGGAACGACAATTTTTCAACTTTGTCAGTCGAGAGTCTTGACCGTCTCTCCGTCAACACCATGCCAGCCTTAGAGAAAATGCGCTCGCATGGAACTGATGTGGCTACAACGCATAACCTACGACAAACTAATTGGTATAGTTTTGGATAAATTAACTTACGTTCATTCCACCAAACTAATGGATCTTCCGTTCTTTTTAATAAAGGTTCAGCAATGTATCGATCCAATTCTAATATACCAGCTACTGTTACATTCGAACCACCACTTACTGCAATAACTCTGGTATCAAAATCCTTCCAAATAGTCTCCGGTCCAGAAAGTGGACCAATACCTAATGTTGCTTCTGGTTCTTGAGTATCTTGTCCGATAGGTACGATTTGTACTTTCCTTGATAAAGATTGATATGCCGATTGGTACTTTTGATCATTTGGAAATCCTTGTTTTTTGAAGCATGGATCTAATAATATTGATTGCATCACAACTTCATTATTTTCAAGCTGGTCAAATCTTGAATGCAATTTATCTTTAAGAATTTTTGCCACTGAACAAATTTCAGTTGGCATTATACTGTTATTAGTGAACCCTGATACATAGTTGACCATCGCCCTTGAAAATATTGTTACTTTAGATATAGATATATAATTCTCTGAGCTTATTTCATTAGTTACATCATAAAATATTTTTAATATTTGACATAGCACTTTCAATACATTCCACTCATCAAATGTGATAGTGTTTAGATCATTATTAATAATGGCTAATGTGGATAACCTGGATCCTTTATTTTCAAAATTCTATCTACCATGTCATATGTAGAATTCCACCTGGTAGAACAGTCTTGCTTCAACTTTAAAACAGAATAACCACCTTGTGTCTGAATTTCATTTAGACGAGACAATGCGTAAGGACTGCGTTTGAAATATTCGACAATGGCCTTTACTTTATTTAATATTAATTTCACTGCTTCTAGCCCAGATTGCACTATCAAATTGATACTATGAGCAAAACATGGAAAATGCCTCCACTGGCATAATCGAACTGCTGCAACTATATTAGCAGCATTATCACTGACAATCATAGTGATTTTATTGTCTAATCCCCATTTATTCACCTGCTCTTTAAGGAGAAAAGACATTTCAACAGCTGTGTGTTTGGCTGTGAAATGTTGACAATCAATCAGAATTGATGACATCTTCGTATCATCATCGATATAATGTGCAGTAACAGCTACGTAAGATTCATTATTAATTGAAGTCCATGCGTCAGTTGTCAAGCAAACTGGTGTTACATTTTTTAATTTATTTTTTATATTTTCAACAGTACTTTCATATAACTGAGGCAAAAGGCTATTGGATATTGATTTTCTACTGGGAAGAACATAACCCGGTATCAAAATCTGTATTAAATTTTTAAATTATTTTTCTTCGACGAGACTAAAAGGATGGTAATGTTTAATGATTAATTTTGCTATTTGAGAATCTATTTTTTTTTTATTTTGAAATGGATACTGGTTTTTGTACATAGGAATTTATGGAAGTCTGAACGGGTCTAATATTGGTTGGTGTTACTGATGTCAAAATTTGTGTGGAAGTATTTGATGCTGGCATTCCCGAAGTAGATGGTTCATCTATATTATGTTCCTCAATATGCTCAGTCATGGTATTTGAACTATTTGAAAAATGATGGCGTGCTGTTCGATCAAGTGACACTGTTATGTGCTTAGTTTTCATGTGTCTCAATAAATTGCTACTTGAACCACCACCATAACTTATTTTGTTCGAACAATAACTACATTTAGCACACTTTTGGTCTACTATTGTAAAATGGTTCCAGATGGAGCTTCTTTTTTTTGAAAGCATTATTAAGTTGTTTTACCTTGTTAATAAACATAGCAATATTTATTTATTTGAACTACATACTTGGGTAGATCCATTGCATTATTTAAATAATGAATACAAACGCACGTATGACTACTGCTCAGCTATAAGGCGGTTGACTAGATAAGAAATGTGGCGGATTCAGCTTGAACAATTTATAGTATAAGATAATAGCAAGGTAATGATCGAAACACTTTTCAATAAGTGAATAAACGAGATGCACGGACGATAATCAGCGATAAGACACGACTAACAACGCACGTCAGACCGTCACGAAAGTCGAAACTGTACTGTGTATTATTAGTTAATGAAGATAAAGGTCCCAGAGATATAGTTCTGCATGGTCGGAGTGGACACTTGAGTCGAGTTTCCGAATTGAATAGATTTTATGATGCACTGCAATATCCATTGATGTATACTAAAGGCGAAAACGGTTATCACATTAATATTTTACAGAAAAATACCCGAAATCGATAAAAAACTGTCTCCTGCATGCAATTTTATTCTTATAGGTTTATGGTTAGAGAAACAAGTCTAAATCATCTACATTATTACAAAACATTATTCAGCCAATTCGCCGTAGATATGATGGCAACAATGATTTCTGAATGGTGTAATAATAAGTTTATGGGTGGCATAACTTTTGTTTTCGCTGGTGATTTCCGTCAAACCTTACCAGTAATCCCTAAAGGTACTCGAGCTGATGTCGTTAATGCTTGCTTAAAATCTTCCCCTATATGGAACTATGTTGAAAAACTTTATTTGCGAACAAACATGAGAGTTTATTTATGTGGAGGGGACGATATTTTTCCAGCACAGTTGTTGAAAATTAGTAATGGAACTTTAGAAAATGAAAATGGTTGCATTTCTGTCAATCACACGATTGGACGGGTGGTCAATAACGTGGAAGAGTTGATTTCTACAGTTTATCCTGACATTTTTAATCTGTCCAATAAATCTTATCAGTGTTTATGTGAAAGAGCTATTATCTCTCCGAGAAATGTAACAGCAGGAGAAATGAATGATGTCATCCTTTTAAAATTCGATGGACACTCACGTGAATATCTATCTATTGATACAGTTACATCAACAGATGATGCTATTCATTATCCACAAGAATTTCTCAATTCTCTTTCTCTTTCGGGATTTCCTTCTCATAAGCTAAAATTAAAAATTGGTGCTCCAATTACATTATTACGTAATCTTCAACCACCGAACTTATGTAACGGTACAAGATTACAAATAAAATCGTTGCGAAATAATATTATAGAAGCCGTAATTCTTACAGGGCCAGCGAAAGGAGAAATTGCATTTATTCTAAGAATTCCCATGATTCCCTCTGACTTGCCGTTTTCTTTCAAACGGCTTCAATTCCGGGATAATGTTTCTTTTGCCATTACCATAAACAAAGCGCAAGGTCAAACATTCAAGTACGTTGGCGTAGATCTTCGTACAGAGTGCTTTTCACATGGGCAATTATACGTGGCATTTTCTCGAACTGGGGACCCGAATCATCTTATGATTTTAATTTCAACAGGAAATACAACAAAAAAAACATCATATACTCAGAAGTCTTATAAGATTCTTATTTTAATTCTTTTTTTTTTCTTTTTTTTTCTTCATCAACTTCAATCAAATTCTTTATCAACCATAAATTATTTCTTTTTTATCTGTATTAATTTTATCATTTATAACGCTAGAAAAATTTCAATCCGTTTTTTTTATATTTACTTGCCGATCACATTAAACAATAATATTTGAATAAAAAATTTTACATATCATGGTCCGAAAGCAAAATAAACAACCAATCACGGGCGAAGCTGTGACGAGTCATTTCTCACTTTAGTTAACTACTTGTTTTTAGTACATATTTTAAACTAACTTGTATAATTTTGTTTAACAGTGTATTGTCCCGTCCAGCGTAGTCATATAATAAAATACGTCACAAGGAGGTTCCCATGAACATCAAAAACCATAACTGTGGATAAGTTAGATTATTGTGTTCACATGGTTATTACACTGGAAATTACAATGAGGAATTAGAATATCGAAATCACAAGCGTGGACAAGTGAAAGGGTTCACATAAACGTTTTTATGGGAAATTGAAATAATATAGTTAATCGAAATAGTAGTGACCACATCCTGGGCATCCGCGTCAATAATTTTGTCACGGTCCGGAGATAGCGCGCACACACTCACAATCAATAGGGAAATATCACATTTTTATTATCGTTTTCATATACACATACACAATTGCAATATCAGATATAAAAGGGGGTCCCGAACAGGCCCTATTCAGACGAGTTTTGGCTATGCTGCACTGAGCACCTTCACGTCAGTGTACGTCATGGTCCGGACTTAAGAAATATTTCAAACTATTTTTACAAGTTATAATTGTTAGGACTTAGAATATTTATAAATTGTTGTTCTTAGAATAATTTTATCAGTTTAATAAACTAAATTATCTTAAAGAGTCTTAATTATTCTTCACTACACCTGCATCTAAGTGTTGATTAGACACTAGTATAATATAATATAATAAATGCAACGTTTATAAAGATTAAGTAAGTAATTAAAGTATTGTTTTTTTTATAAACATTACATAGGTTAGTTTAATTTAATTAATACTCAACAAAAAGTTGAATATGCGTTAGTTATGCATAAATTAAAACAAATTATATATATTATATACATTATATACATTTTTTATAAGAAAATTATAATACATTCAGACACTTATACAAATAAAAATTACACAAATATCTACAGTTTAAAAATGATTGGCAAAAAAAATATTTACAAATAATTATTATGCAGGTACATCATCGTCATCGTCAGAATTGGAAGTATCGCCTGTTATAGTGAGGACATAGGGTTCTAAATTGTCCAAAATGTCATCCATATTTTCGTCTACTTGGGTCAATTTATCCTTCTCTGTTTTGACATGTTGAATAAAATTTTGCCAATTTTCAATGATGACCCGTTCAATTGCCGTGTTCAGAAGGATCTTAACATCATCGATTTTGTATGTCGTATTGTGCTGTTTGACGTGGCCCTTAACCATTGCCCATGCCAATTCTATTGGGTTTAATTCGCAATGATAGGGTGGTAATCTCAATATATTATGCCCGACGTCTTTGGCCATGTGGTCGACAACATATGACATATACTGCCTCTTTACTTTTTTGACCTTCGCCAGTAATTGTGGTTTAAACATTTTTCGGTCAATGACAACATTTTTTGAAATTAACCACGATATAATTTCTTCTTTTTTTGAGTTGGATGTCGGTATTTTTTCTGCTCTGACCGAGTGATACGGGGCATTGTCCATCACAATTACTGAATTTGGATCAAGACGCAGAAGAATCGACTCAAACCATTCGTGGAAGTTGGCACCATTCATTTCTTCATGGTAGTCTGCACTATTTTTTTTTTTATTCAAAAAATAACAGACCACCATCTACAAAACCTTTGTGCAAGCCAATGTGTACAATAATTAAACGTTTGCCTTTGCCAGTCGTGTTCGTAACACCTGTTGTCAGACCTTTGTTAAAAGCGTCATGTTTTGACCGAATTGCCTGGTCGACCCATACTTTGTCTACACAATTACCTGCATTTAGCCACGTTTCGTCAAGATTGTAGACAGGTACGACCTTCTTCTCTACATTTACGTACATCGTACAAATAATTCTGACGCCAAATCAACAGATCTTCTCGCTCCGTCAACACGCTGTATCTTTTCCTCTTGTTGAAGATGAAGTCCAATTTCTTTATCACCGAATACAATGAAGTGCGTTTGAAATCGGGAAGAGCAGGATCTTCATTCACAGCATGCAAAATTTTGTCGATGGTTGGTAATTCTTTCCTCAACCAAAAGGAATGAATTTTTTGACGAAGTGCATTACGATCTAAATCGTCAATGTGATCGAACAGACACTTCTTATTAAGTGTTTTATTAGGAGACGTAACAGTTCCGGTTTTTTTGTATTCGGAAATAATTGAAACTATCGAATTACGACCAATACCTGTGGAATTTAAAATTTCAACCCTTGTACGGTTTATACTTCGATTTCATGTCTTTGTACACGTTAATAATCATGGTCTTCTGAAGGCTCAGTATCTACTAAAAAACAAATTTATATCAAACTTATTTTGATGAATATGTTATATCTATTTCGTATTTTTAATTTCGAAAATCAAAATTCGTATGAATAAACAAAATTTTGAAATGCCGGTGAAATAAAAATCATAAAAATTAAACGTGTATTATTACAGTACCGATTTTATTAATTTATAATATTTTACTCGCTTTTCCTGGAATATTTCTTCTTTTAAGTGAAAGATTTTCCTCCACGTTGTCCAATTCAGAAACCTTATCCACACGATCACCCATAGTGAATTCGTAAAACGAAAAAAGTTAAAAAAAAAACCTAAGAAAACGATCAAGAAAACGAAAAAATCACGGGTAAAATCACGGAGCGTATTTTCAAGCATGTGACGACACAGAAAGTGGAGCACAAATGCGTTGAATTTGTTAAATTTTACATGTTATATTGATATAATAGGCATATGTGCAGAGCACCTACCCTTAATGTCCACCTCCTATCTGGAATTTATAAAATGCACGAGGAATCTATACACACAATACCCAGCTATAGGGCCGTGCCTAGGAGTGTGTGAGAGGTGCGTGTGCACCGGGCGCCAAACGCATTTTTATAATTTACCTAAGTATTGATATTGAAAATTCAACATATTAATCATGTTAAAGGCTCAATTACAATTGTATAATAATATAAAATGACGCACTAGTGATGGAACTAATTTACATATAATAATCTACAAACGATACGCCATTAATGTATAATAAATAATTGACATCTAATTGATAATAAAAATAATTTTTTGTATTAGACTAGTAATATGTCACAAATTAGGACCCTGATTAACAAAATACAATGTAATTTACCAATAAAAATCTAATAATCAATGCCAAATATAGATAATAAAATGAATAAATATATTTTTTTTTTTTTTTATAACATGAACGGCGCATATATAAGGCTTAACTGTCAAAACTTGATAACAAAAATGAATAGTGCGTTTACAAATCACAAAATATAGGTAAGATTGATTACTAAATAACAATATTATAATAATTAAAAAATATATATAACAGTAACTGCTTATTGCATAAAGGCAGTATAATAGTAAAAAATTAACAGTAACCAACACAAGTGAAGTTTCTTAATATAATACAATTTAATCACGTCGAGGTCACCAAAATGTTGGCGCGGCAAGTGTTTTAAATAATATAGAACATACTTGTTCGCCATAAAATAAATTAAACATAAATTGAATAATAAAAACTGTATAATTGAATAATTAAATAATTAAATAAATATGTGGCCCTACAACGGCGCAACAATAATAATAAATAATTCAAGGGTGTGGCCCACACGAAACAATAAATAAATATACAATTATATATAATAATAATAATGCCCTTGGCGGATAGGCCCGTCGGCCTTAAACAAATAAATAACACAAATATGGTCGACCAATACTCACAATCACCAACGAAGTCTACAGCGCTGACGAAGAACAAACACGATGAAACCACGTTTTGCACAATGGCTGTTGGCAAGTGACCACCCTAGAATATGGGACAATTAATGAAAGGCAATACAAATTGCGCTGAACGACACTTACCAAACAGCCGACACGATACAAAACAAAAACACAGAAAAAACGTGGTTTGAAGAAGATGGCTGTAGACCAACGCCCGAAACAGCAGCAGAAAGAATTGGTGTGCACACCACGACGAACATGAACAGAGAGCGAGCTGGTGCCGACGACATTCAACACGAAGGCTCAGGTCGCCGAACACCACAATGAAGATAAATGTCTCAGTGCCACCACACTAAAACAGAAACAAGAGAACTTAAGAACTTTTGTGGCACTGAGAGCATGACTAAACATTAAAGGAAAAACATAACCGAAAAACGCGAAAACGTGGAATAACGAACATTTACGCACGACGATAACAGCGCGATTACGTACCCGGCCGGTCGCACACGGAGGTTTATCACCACCGCCGACGATGGCTACGGATACGCAACGCACCGCTACACATCGCACGAAAATGATAACAACAACAAAAATTACACAAACATAATCACATATTTAAATTAACATCAACAAGCATATTATTTATTATGATATGAAGCAAAGCACATAACACATATTCCAACATTGCATTTTAAACACTGTGTACGTCCTTTGGACGTACAATTGTCGGCCGCACATCTTCTCCTCATACCATTAGCTACTGGTATTATTAGATGATCTCTCCCATCATACCGTGCAGCATCAGGAATTTTAGCTGAAGGTCCTGGTCGTTTTGGTAAATTTCTGTAGGTAATCAAATATGTCTTCACGATATCGCGTCTGAATTCAAG